CATACCCATTGCTACATGCAAGGCACCGTTCCTAGACGACACACCCGAGTATGTATCATTGAAAAACTGGTACCATAACAGGTTTTATAGATAGGGAAGAAAAAAAAAGATTTATTTACTTTTCGTATGGACAAATCAAAAAGATAAGGAAAAAAAAAAGATGTTCAGGATGATCTTTTTTTAATGTATACCCATGCACAACCCATCACAATGTGTCGGGAAATCAAAATTTTCATTTACAGAAAAAGCCTCTTTTTTTTTTTTTTTGCGTTCCCCTCAATGAACAGGGGAAGTTTTCTTTTTTTCTTTTTTCTTTTTTTTTTTTCCTTTCTTTTTTTTTTATATATCCGCTTCCTTATTTGCCGAAATAAGATTATTTTAAAGTGTAACGTAACTCTTGGTGATTATATTAAAAGACCCGTTAAAAAATACCCCTTATTTGGCTACTTCCATATAAGGCAATTAATTGACTTTATTCCATCAAGGTACAAAAATTCCGCCTTGAATTTAAAAAATTTTTTGCTCAACGTTTGGGGAAGGGTAAAAAAGAAAAAGAAGAAGCAGAAGAAGAACACACGATATTTTTTTTTCCCTTGTCACTTTTTTCCCGCCTAGAAGGGATGATTATCTATACTTTATTGGTACCACTGATAATTATGTGGCTGACTTGGTAAAAGAGATTGATTTAGTAGACAAATGGCGCTTCTTCCCGCTTAAACAGTAGATAAAAAAGAGTAAAAACCTGTTTTCTTTTTGTCAGAGTCATTTTCGATTATTAGATCAGAGGCGGTTAAGGTTATCGGATTTATATATATTTAGCAAGTTTCTATCGCAATTACGACATTGCATTGCTTTTGTTACTACCATATTCTGTATAGTACCGCCATTCCGACTCGTAACTCCTTATTTTCTGTAACAACAACCCCTGTCTTCTTGTTCTAGTACAACATCAACTACGCCACTTTCATCGTAAAAGGTCCCCAGCCTTAGTTTAGCCCTATACTATATCCCTATAGTCAACTATAGTTATTCACTGTTATTCACTGTTATTCACTGTTATTCACTGTTATCCCCCCCCCTTCCTCCCCAACTATAATCACCATCTCTCATCTGTATACATATATTTATTATTTATATATACACATATACATTTATATTTATATCCGTCAATCTGCACAAGGTTTGTATTTGTATGTGTGTCAATGTTTACCATGTCATCTCGTTCATGCATAAATCCCAACAAAAAAGATATAAGCGTATATCATATCAATGATGGGAATGTTTATATATTCCTTGTAGAAAAGCCGCATAGAATAAACACAACATACACACACACGAACACAAAAAAATTGCTGATTATTTAAAAAATATCGAGATAATCAACATCAGATTAAACAAGGTTGAGTCACTTGCATTGAGACGATTCTTTGTTCAACTAGTAATTTTTTAAAGAAAAAAAGAATTTAAGGTTTGGACATTTTGATTTTGGCAATGTCCGATGATTAGATTAACTCGTGATCTAAAAAAAAAAGTGTATGTACAAATCAGTATGTATGTATAGTATGTATAGTATGTATGTATGTATAAATGTATAAATGTATAAATGTATGTATTAGTATGTATGTACATATTAGTATGTAAGTAGAAAAGAACGAAAAAAAAAATATGAATAAAGGAAACAGCTGACCAAGCTGAAATGTGACACTGCGTCTGTCAACTGTCAATTGAACAAGGGGGGAAAGAGGGTGGTGATATGCTTGGAAAATGGAGAAATGTATAGAAACATTTGAGTTGATTGTCGTTTTTACGAAGCATTAAAATTGCCTAGTTCATTGAGAATTGAAACATTACACCAAGTCATGGCCAAACGATAGCTTAATAGCTAGCTAGTACCGCGGCATATCCATAATAGTCTATCCGCTCTTGATATAGTAAATGTTTATCATTTGTCTTGTATCATTATTATTTTATACTCCTTAATCACATTGTCAATGTTTTTAAACATTTCTTTACGTCATTATAAATTCCTTCTTTGCTCAATATCTCAATATCTCAATCTCTCTCTTTTTCCTCCCCTTTCCCTTTTTCTCCCCCTCTGTTTATAATCTCACTCTCACTCACTCTTTCTCACACACTCTCTCACTCTCTCTCACTCACACTCTCACTCACTCATTCGCCATGTCATTCACCTTGTCATTTCCCTCTTTATCTCCCATCCCAAAACCTATAATTCTGCAGTGATACCATCATTGGGGTACACAATAATATTTGTGAATGGTAACGCATTCATATTTGAAAACATCCTTATTCTCGGACATGAGCCAAGAATAGAATTGAATTACAATTTGTTACAAGTCAAATGACATAAAGTGTCAAATGTGATATTGGTATTTAGAGAACAAAGAAAACAACCACCCATGGACTGTGACATGTGGAAATCATCAAGTGGGAATGCAGGGTGGCGCACGACTTTTTGGAGATGAAATGATTACCTACACCGATTGCAGATTTCCATGTACGAACGAAGAAAAAAAAATGTTTACTGGAAGAGGAAAGAACGATTGACCTCGCCGGTCGCTACGTTGTTGCCGCCCATATGCAGTTGATGCCCATATGGTTGATGTTTCATGCAAGACCATGAGCTGGACAAGGTGGCGTACTTGGTTTCAAGAGAACATGTTTGTGTGGTGTAATATGTGTGTATGTAATGTTTGTGAGTGTAGTGGATGTTGTGAGTGTTGTTGATGTTGTTATGGATGTTGTTGATGTAGTGGATGTCGTTGATGTTGTGTGTGTTGTTGATGTTGTTGATGTTGTTATGGATGTTATTTATGTTATGGATGTTATGTTGTGGGTGTTATGTTGTGGGTGTTGTGTTGTGGGTGTTATGTTGTGGGTGTTGTGTTGTGGGTGTTATGTTGTGGGTGTTATGTTGTGGGTGTTATGTTGTGGGTGTTATGTTGTGGGTGTGGGTGTCGCATGCGTGTGAGACGATGGGAATAGTGGAGAGTGAGAGTGAGAGAGGAGATATTGATAGATGGACAGTGACAGAGTCTTTGTGTTTATGCAGATGCCTGCTGATAGTACGTATAGCTTGTGCAGATGATCGTTATTCGCTATTACTAATTTGTGGTCATTCTATTATTAATATAATGATGTAATATTTATGAATCATAATAAATTTTGAAATTTCCTTATTCGTCAATAGCTCTTACCGACACTTGCCGCGATATACCAATGTCATTCCTAATTCGGGAATGTGCTTCGGCCGTGATTAACAGGGGATTGATGGGACGACAAGGGTTAGGTTTCACGAGGGAATGAGCCAAGAGATGGATTGAAAATAGCAAAGTAAGTAAGCGTGCATGTACAAAGAGTAACACTGCCTGCTCTTTGCTTGGATGCTTTTTGCAAAAAAGAAAAAAGCATGGCGAAAAAAAAAACCACCCCCCTCCATTGACCACCACCATGCGTCGGATATCTGTAATCCGGAGTGGAAATTTTAAATTTGAAAATAATAAACGCAGTTAACAAATATAATCAACAAGCATGTTAATAAACCGGTTTAATATTGAAACAAGGTGATTATTCGATTGAACATGAAGCGCCCCAACGTTCTATGAAACTACTAAAACAATCATTAAAAAAAAAAAATACCCAACCCATCAAGGATCATTTAATTTTTTCAGGTCGGTAATACTAATAATAGTGTATGTGACTCGTCATTTTTACTTTTTTGGCAGGTTGTTTATAAGACTTTTTTGTGGGGAAAGCATAAACAAGACTTTTTAAGAAAAAACCCAATTTCCAAAGGGAATAGATCAAAACATTCTGGCATGAAATGGCCGAAAAACCACTTTTTTTTTTTTTACCTTTTCCCCCTTTTCCCTCTGTACCTGTTTCATCCCAATCTCAAACTTGCTCCGGCTTTGAAATGGACAAAATACACATGTCAAAATAATGTTGATATCCGAGTGTTCATCCGATTTACGTATGCCAAGTTTGCCTTATTAGTCTATTTCACAATGACGTTATCCTAATATCGTAATAGCCAATCCCCACACACACAACACGCTGATGCTGATGATGCTTCTAGCTGCTGATGAATGCCGATGAATGCTGCCTGATACTTGCTCGCCTATAATCTGCGGCATGCTTCAGCCGAAGATTTCGAAAAAAGAAAAAGAGCGCAGACATGTACATGTCAAAAAATGAATTAGGATATGAATAGAAACCGGATTCGACATGACAATGGGATTTGCCAATGTTTATGACTAGTCTGTTGTTTGCAAGACTAACCAAAGAATCATTCACGTAGTAGAACATGTCATTTCCAATGTTGTAGACGTTTTATTCAGGTTTTCCTCCCTTTTACCCCACCCATCAAATACATATATCAAGTATACATATACACTGTTATTATATGGATCGAATTTTTCTCCTGCAGCTGTTTAGGTCACATGAACATAAAATGTTCATGACCAAATTTCCAAAAAGCCTGAGGGCGGCTTGTGCCGAATCTGACTAGTGTCAGCGAGATTCATGTGTTTGATGGGGCTTTTAGTTTTCGTCTACGGGGTTGCGGAAAGGAGGGTTGTCAAAAATATAAAGTGGATTTTTTTCTCGTACAGATTATTATTAGCAGCAGAAAACAGTAATAATGATTACCAGCACATAATACTCGGGCATACTCCTACCACCGAAGTGATACAACCTAGTTGCATATATGACGTACTGTATATATTAATAAGTACATTTGACTAGGTTATAACATGAATAAATAAATAAATGAATATAAATAAATTAAAACTGTATTCTGTGTACGTTAATCTAATTTATATAAATAATTTAGTGTATATTCAATATATTTTAATTATTTTAATTGTCCCACCAAATTTTTTCGTATCTATATAAATACCTATTCACGCCGGGACAAGCTGTTGGTATCTTTTTAGAAAGCATTATTTTTATTATTTTCAACTATTATCACATATTCTAAAATGTCTCTCGCCCTCAAAGCAGAGCCTTTTCCAATGAACATACATCATGCAATATACCAAGAAGAAGACAGCATCGACGCTTCTTCTCCCGAACCTGCCTCACCCGCCGCTCAGAGCGACGTAGACTCTACAGACCAACTTGCCCACGACGACGTACAGGAACAACAGTCTGCACCAAACTCTAAAGCTGTTCTCTTACCCAATTTTGAGAGTGTTTCGTACGACAGAGTTCAAGATCTCTATGAACAACGCAAAGGCACGTTGTACTTTATACCCGAAGGCTTTGAGCCCGTACTGGTCCCAAATGACACGAAAGCACAAACGGTCACGAATCTACTAGAGACAGCTAAACAGGTTTCTGCTCCATTGAACGTGCCACGTATGCTTCCAGATACCGATGTCCGTCTACCCACACTCGCTCTTCCGTGTGGTGTCACCGGTCCACAGTCAAAGGGAAACTCTCCAAATGGCAAGTCAAAAGTGAAGAAACCCCCGAGACCTCCGAATGCCTTCATTCTCTATCGTCGGGCAAAGCAACCCGCGATTGTGGCAAAGAACGCTGGAATCACAAATAACGAGGTTTCAAAGGAAATCGGGCGCATGTGGCATGAAGAACCGCTCGAAGTGCGTGTCAAGTTTCAGAAAATGGCAGAGGACGCCAAGCAAGAACACATGAAAAAGTATCCCGAATATCGATATCGTCCTCGTCGTCCTCAAGAGCGCAAGCGTCGTGTCCCATTACGTGAGGCTACCACGCCTCCTCGTCGCAGTTCGACTCCTACGCTCCCTTCTGACAAGCTAGAAGAGTCCGCGGCTTCTTCACCCTCATTCCAACCTAGACGTGCTTCTACCACCATATCCAACGACGGTGATTCATCAGACGTCTATTCTCAGAGTCCAACTCAGCAGTTACTTTCTTCGAGATTAATCTATCACAATCCTGAGCTCTTGAGTTCACCGCAACAGCCCATGGTAATGGACGCTCAACTCCCGTACCATTATTACTTGTCTGCAGCTAATGGCTTCGATCAGCAGATGATGAACCAGGTTCCGCAGGTCGAATACGGTGTGTTTGACCCTCACAACGATGGACAATTCGATGTGGTAGATTTCGAAGAGTTTGACGTTAATATGAACTTTGTATCAAATGAGGGTGAAGGTATCTACATGCGTGAACCGACGCCTTACGTAAAGTTTGATACTTACTAATACAGAAGGTTGGTATACTTGTATTTTACAATTGTGCAGTACTTTGAAGCACGCAAGATAACTAATCGATTATTGCTTTCATTATTTACTCTCTAGTATAATTATTATTCGAACTTTTTTTTTTCGGACTTTTTTTTTTTTTCTTCTTCTTCGCATTTTTCGAATTTCATTTACATTAAATATCATTTTATTTTCGTATATTTTTCTCTTTAAACATTATGCATAAGGTGAGATATCTGAACTTGCTGTTATTGATTACTCGATACCACTCGCAAGACTTGCATACTAATTATTCTTTCTCTTGTTTCTATAGAACTAAACTTCTTTATCGTTCGAACAAAACTTAATAACAAACAGAATCTAAGGATTTTTCTAAGAAGAGTTGTGAAAAAAAGGGGGACGCTATTCAAAGTTATAATATTTGTCAATCTAAAAATTTTATTCAAAAAAACCTTTTCTTTTTTTTATAATATATACCTTTTAGTTTTCTTTTCATCTCCAGAAAGGCTCTCGCGGCCTTGAAATCTTTTTGATTTCTCGGAGAGTGAAGATGGGGTTGGTCTTGCTGTTATTATTATTTCCTGTTCAGATAATGGCCGGCCTCATCTTTGTTGGAGCAGGTTAACTCTTCTTAATACTTTTTAATAATTACATATGCCTTTATGAATTAATCTCGAAAATTCTCCCCTCCCTTTTATATTAATAAAGATTCGATATGATAAGTTTTAAATATAGCACTTTAATAACTATTTGATAGCATTTTTTTTCATAGAATTTGTAAATTCACACCTCACCCGCACCTTTACATACATCACATTCATGTACAGAGTTTTATAATACACACACACGCATCTACATTTCATTGAAAACAAAAAAAAAAAGTCCCACATCTTTTATTTTTTTTATTCATGGCATGTATTTAGTCTATTTTACAGTATGAAGTTTTTTTTATATTCGAAAATTAAAAAGTTCCTGGACATTTTCGAACTAGTTCCTCCTTATATTAATGTCCCCTTTGTATATGAGGAGAAGGATCGCGGAGATGATACTTTGGTCTTGTTCTTATTGTTACCAGTATCCTGCTTTCCTTTTGTCACTTATTAACTTTGTGTTTGTGTGTGTAGGTCATTATTCATGGTATATCATATTTGGTCTTTGTTTGGGTTCAATTTTTATAGTGGGTTGATTTTGGGTTGACTATTTGATGGGAGGTTCTTGGCCTCCCGTCCGGTTATTTCTTTTTCTTTCATCTATAGTTTATGTATATGTTATCTTTTAGTATTTTACTTGTTCCGAATATTTCGTATTAATGACTATGGTCGAGCTATTTGGTTTGGTAACTTTAAAAAAAACTGTATATAAAAAAAAGCTTTCGATTTTTTCGAAAATTCTTGTAAAAAAATCTATTGAAGGAGGTATTTTATTGGGGCGAATGTAAAAAAAGAAAAAAAAAAACAATAAAAAACAAACAAAATTTTTAAAAACAGTGAATCTAATGGGACGCATGAGATGTAACTTTTTCATTGTAACAAGTCATCAGACTTGTGAATATGAGCAAGTAGTGCGCATATTACACACGTAACCTTATGATCCTTGTGTTATTAAGTAGAATATTCCCATAGAAAAAGAAAAAGAAAGACGAAAACAAAGAGAATAAAACGGAACACAAAGTATTCAGTTGGTTCGGCGTTCAGCCATCGCAAACAACGAGCTCACCAGGGGTCGAACCTGGAATCTCCTGATTCGTAGTCAGGCGCCTTATCCATTTGGCCATGAGCCCTATGGTAATCTCACGTGTCTTGATATCTTATTATCATTGCAATGCAGCTTGGCTGTTTACAAACACAACTAACCGCCACGGTTCAAAACTATAACAATTTTCGGAACAACTGATTTTTTCAAAACCTCAACTGAATTGTAATCCTAACGTAAGGACGACATTTATTTAATAGACATATTGAAACGTATTATTATCAGACAGTGAAAATATAGAGTATTAAGAGTAAACAGTATCAATCTGTTTATAATATCAAAACATGGACGCGTAAATTAATATCGTGGCAACAACGTTATAAACCTGCCATAAAACTTTTTTTCACGCCTCTTGATTTCGAAACGTGAAGAGCATGTTATTATAATACACGACTGCAATTGTTGATAAGGTAAAAATAATCGCCTTGATCAAAAATTGGGTAAAAGCCGACTTGCACACAGTCTTAAACAGGGAGCTGATACTAAACGTTGACAAGGCAGCTTAAAAGGTAAACCAAAAGCAAAGCTAAACCTCAATGCCGGTTAATGATTCGTTTTCTTGTTTAAGTAGTTTTATTCACAATCTCGGTTTGTAATCTACAATCTATTAGGACTAGTGTAATTACCACTTAATTACCCTTAGAACCTGTCTAAACACTGGCACTAGTTAAAAGTTTGTTTCGTGCGGTCGAATCAAATGTATTTTAGACTGAAAAGACGGTATCTTTTTTACCCTGACCTATACAGGACAAGTTAATAGTCGTTTTTTTTAAAAAATTACCCAAACATGGTTCGAAGACAAATCTCGATAGAATTCGTCAAGTCTGAGTCCATAGGACACTTGAGTGATAGGCGTAAAGTTGTCTCCTAACTTATTCTCCTATATTGGTATTGCGATAAAAATTGCTGAACGCCCCCAGTTAGAACTATTAATACAGCAATTCAAGTTGTGGCTGTTTCTTAGTACATTTTTTATTTGCCGCATTACTTGCAATAAAACCCCAAGTTCAACGCTTTAATTGCAAGTAGTTCTCAGACTTTACGTAGATTGTGTACATGTGATTTCATATATTCGCGTACTACAGCCCTTTACGAACATATGTCACATGCTAGTAATCTATGGAGGAGCATGCAAATATTGTTATTTTTTATTGATAAATAAATTTTTGCAACATTTTAATCAAGAAAAACCGCGTAAAAGCAATGGCAAAATTTCGCATATCAGATACAGTTTTTGAGGTTAAACCACCATTTTTACTACGTTGAATGTATATGCAACAAAACCAGACGAGTGAACATTCGACATCAGGTGCAGTTTAAGATGACATTCTCTTGGCACTAGCATACAGATTACTAGAATTTTATCCAATAAAATGCTCCGTGAGAGATATATATGTTTCAGCGGCAAATTCCTGTAACTCCGTGTCTGTACGAATCCAGATATCGCTACGTTTTTCGCGCAAATCTACAAACTGTTATTTTTTGCTTTGGAAAAACGTGATTTGCCGATTTGCGTACTATAAAATTTTCCGAGTAAGATACAAAAGTCATTAAGTTCACCGTACCACCATAAAATGAATTCTTGGAACGAAAAAAAGCAAGTCAATGTTTGCAACATGCTGACTTTATAAATCTTCAGTCGCGCATATCCCTACTAGTGTCTGGCTAGTGCGTCTTGCGTTAGATGTTTGGTGCTATTCTGTAGGAATGTCCTTGAGCATGCGTGTTTATTCCCCCCCCCCCCCCCCCCCCCCCCCCCCCCCCCCCGCCTCCCCCCCCCCCCCCCCCCCCCCCCCCCCCCCCCCCACCCCCCCCCCCCCCCCCCCCCCCCCCCCCC